TATATATTTATGAGCGAAGAGCTTTATTGTATAGAATAGATTCTACCAGTTAACCTTCCAGGTTCCAGAAACCAAGGCAACGTCCCCTAATTTTGTACTTAGATCACACTTTCCTTCACTTACGGAGGAGCATTACGCAAAATTACGTGTTAATTATGTATACAAAAGAAAGTCTAGTTTCGCGTAATTAAGTCGTAATTACGCGAAATTACGTAATACGAAACCTTCCGTAATTTGAATAAGGACATATTAATTCTCAGAAAGGAATATAGCGAAAAAATGTGTGTAAGGATATGCGCGCCACAACCATGTCCATTTAAATACTTTCAAATTGAATGAAAATTCGGTGATGGACCAAACCTCTGTAGAGAAAAAAGTAAATGTTGGTTGCACATTTTATTAAAAATATACATATTTCGGTCTAGGTTAACCCTCGTCAGTTCTAACGATATAATAACTATCAAAATCGATGTTAAAAACCACAAGAAAATAAACGAACAAAAACGGTTATTTAAAAACAATTTAAATGGGCTGTAAAATGGACAAAAGGGAAACGAACTCAGATCTTTGAGATGGAAAAAAGATAATTTTCAAATATTTACTTTTTAAAAATGTGTTAAGAAAATTATTATTCTTTGAGACTATTTATTGTAGTGTATAAAGTGGTGGGGTCATACCGTCTGCAAACCATGTATCTTCGTTCTATCCCATACTCCTTGGTTTGATCTCCTATCCTCTAGGGATCATTTTAAAGGTTTTGTCAACCATTAGTTTACGTTTAAAAGAGCGCTTGATAATAGTTTAGAACGAATCATGAACGATCCCAAGACAATGCTTGGTAGAATATTCGTAGATCTACCAAAATCAGGATGGATCCCCAATACAATACAATTGCGTGCACCTATCGACGGCCTCCATGGGGGGGGGGGCAGTCCTCCTTTGATGTGTAATCCTGCATTTACAATGTGCTGAGAAAATAATGGAGGCTGGGGCCAGGTAAGGATCCAGAATAATGGAGGCTGGGGAGGTAAGGATCCAGAATAATGGAGGCTGGGGAGGTAAGGATCCAGAATCATCAATAGCAATATCTTTTCTGGAAATAATTATGCAATATGAATCGAATTTGATTAAATTTATAGATTGAAAAACAAATTCACTCGATTAAGTTTTTTTTATTTTTAGGCTTTAAAGCTTTCTAACAGTGCTATGGGAAAGACTACGGTTGGACAGATGGTAAACCTTCTTTCAAACGATGTGAACAGGTTTGATTGTACTCGGTGACCATTAACTTAAGTGAGAACTCATCATAATATTCAAGACCTCATATTCGTACACAAACAGCAAGAACAACGAATGTTAAAGGGAGTGTTCGCGAAAAATGAAAGGGGGTATAGGCTGAATGCGATAAAAAAGCGCCTTTGATCGCTAATAAAAATCATTCAGACATTACAACCTGTATTCATTGATTATCTTTCGCCACATTTGTATATAGTTTATATTTTATAATATGTTTTAATTAATTTGTTTTGAATTTGTTTATTTCTCTTGTCGCTTGCACAACTATCTATAAAGAATGCCGCACACCACTCACATTTTTCGAAATCCGTTAAAACGTTTT